CTAATGCAATAGGAGAACCTCATACATCACAAATGATCCACAAAACGGTCCCCTAACTTCAATAAAAATAATATTAGACCAAAGTATCTTGCAGGTGCTCACGCAGTGTAGAAATTTCCTATTTGTATTAAAATATTTACTAATTAGATCTACATATCTATAATATCTACAAATTAGAATGTTTCACATTTGGTGGGATTGCTACCATGTACCTTGTCTTTGTTGATACCCGATATTTGTGCTGTTGTAAGCGCCTCGATCACGGAACAACTGATTTACCGTGATCATAGCGCTTGCACTCACCAAAAATAATCAACAAAACAAGCTACATTATAGCAACTGCCATGAAACCATGAAAGCTTAATACATCATATCTACAAATTACTCTCAACAACTTACCTACTTTTAAAGACTATTTAGACCAAAATATCTATTTAAAAATACAGTCCAATCAACAGATATATTATATAATGGATAATATAGAGAAAATTTAAATATCGGCACATAACGTAATACAAAATATCACGTGACGTTAAACATTACCACTTCCTTATAGGAACGTCGAGATTCGAAAGAAAAAAAAAAGAACTCATCAAACTTGTGATTTGTTGGCAATAGCCCCCCTAACAACTGATTGGCAACAGCCAATGGGGCGGAAACTGATTTTGAAGTTGGTTAAAGACATCACCTTGCGGATCATTGAGAGAATATATATTTTGTATTCAGGAGACGTGCGGTAACAAGATTTGGTATGTTACTCATTGATACACATATATACGTGATGCTTCAGTAATTCTATTGTTAACGTTGCCAGGAAGTTTGCGTGCTTTTAATATTATGAACGATAGTCTGATATTCCATCTATACTAATATTTTATACAGGAAAATGATAAGCCTATTAAAATATGTTGGAAACTTCCCTAATTGGAATTAAATCGAATAAGGGGAATGCGCCAGGGCCTACCACGCGGACCTCAGACTTCAGATGCAGCCGTGACCAACGGCTGAATGTGACTTCCGAAACACGGAGGAGCTGGGGATAGTAAATTTTTGGTCACCCATCCCATGGCTGGCCTTGTTGACCTAATTTTGGCCAAGTACCGCATCGCAGACCAAATTCGCTAAGCAGCGTCATAAAAATCCTCGCAAAGAAGCATTGTTTTATAATTAATCAAATATAAATAAATACCAGGGGCCTAATTGTTTAATTTTGATTTGACATTTCAAAAACATTCACGAACTTCACGCTACAACTACATGACATGTGATTGCAATCGCAAAAGTAAAGCAAATATATTTCAATGCTATTGACAAACGTCAAACGAAATGGTATCTGTAATCATTCGAAGGGTTTGGGTAAGTTTTAACTAAGTTTTTATCATTAAAATCATCATTCGTTCATTCATTATTCTTCAAACGATTTATACAATCGTTATATATTTGAAAAGGATTGCGATAACTTTTAAAATTAGACATTTAACCCATTGGTAACTATAAAAACTTAATCAAAGTCAAAGTCAAAATAATCTTTATTCAAATAGACATCTTAAAAGTACTTTTGAATCGTCCAACATTTTTTTCCCTACCGCTCGTTCATGACGTCTTTTGGCCGATAAGAAGAACGAGCAAGAAACTCACCAGCTCTAATAGGAGTAATGACATTTACAAAAACCATGTCATTACCAGATCAATATATTATAAACAGAGATAGAAAAAAAAACTATGGTCTTATAATGATAACATAATCATTTAATAATAATGGAAACAAGATAATGAGTTTAGAAGTAATCACCGAAGTAATCGTTCTTAAAATTCCTAAAACTTTTTTATTTTCTCGGAATACAAAAGTTATTTTGTATTTAACCTTTTTGTATTGGTTTTGCTCGAATTCTTCGAGATATTGCTAATAGGAAACATGTCGATTGTCAACAATTTTCGGGTCTATGAGTTTTATTGAATTTTATTTATCCGGAAGCGAAAGAAATGTAAGGAATCAGCATCTTCTTATACTTCGAGTATGAATTCATAAACTCGGCTTTGGTGTAGACTTAATACATAAAAAAATGGCTTGACCAACAAGTATCTTTCTGACTTTTTGAGTATACATTTTGCTTAACGAGTGTGGACAATATACTGTTTACGTAAGTATATCGAATTATCATTTGGAGTCAATCTCACACACCCCCATAATAAACTTGAGCTTAAGTCTAGACTAATATAATTAATTATTTAAATAAAGCCTCTATTCTCAGGGTACTACGTGAAATAAAACCTTTGTTTTTACAAGTCTCAACCACATCAGTCCCATAAATCCATTAAATGTTAATTAAATAAAAAATATCGTATATTAAAAAATACTCTCAAATACTTATTCGCCTTAAACACTAAAATGAATATTCGATCTAAATATTTTTTTGATTTAGCTTATTTTCCAAAACACATCATTTTCTAAAAACTACGAAGAAGGCGCCAGACAATTTTAAGATTGAGATGACTTTTACAAAACATTTTAGTGAATTTTACAATTTGCCAGATATTCTTTCAAATGAATTGTCACGTTTGTTGCAAAGAACAACAACAAAACGGAGAAACAACTTTTTTATTCGAAGTCATGCATTGTTTAACAAGGATTTTTTAGATTCCATATTGATGTTTCTGTTTGAAGAAGCTCGAGTTGTTCAATAAATGATGTTAGCAATAGCAATGATGATTCATTTTCCTATTCCATTAATAATACAAAAAAATACATCACAATTCTGCTTTGCTAAACATTGCACCAAGTCCGGCAGGCCACACAAACTTTAAAGTTTGTTTACTTTTAAATTCGCGCAATAACTGACACATGATAGCAAACTAGAAATGTGTATTCAAACAATCCAAACTTTGCACACGTTCGCAAATGCCCGTGCCACACTTAACGTCTTTGTAGGTATATTTAATTGCTTGGGCACATGTCTGACGCGGGCTTTAGGGGCCGCAACATAAACAATGTATAAAATGGACTTCAAGCCTTGTCGAAGGATCGATTGGTATTTTAGAGTACGCTTTATGGTGATCGCTTATCCATCAGAGCTGAAGGAGGCGGACGTAACGAATTTTCTTTACCTTGCAAATTAATGACATGTGACATAAGAATTCTGACGATTCGACGCATATGTGAATGCTTAAAATCCTTTTGCTGCCGTCTTTTGGGGATTTATATAAGAACTTCATGATTTACTCCATTATATATGTTCATTTATTTATTCATAAGAGAGAAGAGTACTGCCTTCTCACTTTTTTTTAAAGTTAATTTGAGCACTTTCTAGATGGGCAACATAAGTTACTACCTGCTGTGAATGTGTACCTATGATTGTATTATTTCTTAAGCTTACTTCCTCATCAGGGGCGCGACCGCCTAACTCATGGACGTAGCCGTAGTCGTAGCTATAACCTACGCTTTATAGGTTTTTCACATGAATCTGTTGATATTGTTTTAAAATTAATCATTTTTTATTATTTACATATTTAATCAATGCTTTTAGTTGTTTTTGTTTGCTGAATTATTAAAGTTTACAAAATATATAAATAAAAAAAAACAATTAATTTTAAAAGAATATAAACAGATTCATAAGGAATATCGATAAAGCGTAGGTTATAGCTACAACTACGGCTACGTCCATGAGTTAGGCGGTCGCGCCCCAGGTCAAGTGATAGCCAAAACTAACGCCAGTGTTCTCATAGCAAAAAATCCCAAAGAATTATTGCGTCATACTTTTTCTCATTCCACATTCTCGTAAGCTATACTTTCGTTCATTAGATACATTTTCACCCAACTCATGCCTAAATTCTATTTTCGTTGACTACCGCTGTTTAGTCAGAAAATATCCCGCTGCGAACGAATTTGCTCGCACGCAACACTTTGAACGGTGGAAACAAATGGTTATCGTTAGAATAGTAGACTTGCGAAAACATTGAATAGTATAAAACGATGCGGTTATCTGTCATCTAAGCACGTTTTAGGGTTCCACGGCAGGAAATAATGCAACTTTTCTATGTGCCTATGTGCCTGTCTATCTGTTGATGATTTACTTTGAAATGAAACTACTTGAGCGAATGAGTTGAAATTTGATAAGTTATTGACCTAAATATGAGTATGTCATAGGTAAGATTCAAATAATTTTTCATACTGAAAATTGCTTAAAAATTCCACTATGTCCCTGGTACTCTGAGATGGGACCCGAACCCACGACCTTTCGCAATTCGGGTAGCTGCACTAACTACTGAGCTACCTAGGACCTAACAGGACTGACGAATTTCTCAAGCACTCGTTACTTTTTCGCTACTATAGGGCGTATTCTCATTAATGTTCAGGCTTTCCACCCAAACAGCCGAAAAAATTTTTTCACAAATGTTAAAACTTTCGATAAAGATGAAATTTTTTTCTAATTATAATATATTTGATCAATTTTTCATTCATAATGCTATACTGCAAAATAATCTTAATAAAAAATGCTTAAAAAATCTACTTTGTCCCTGGCAATATTTTTCAGCAAAGCATAGGGAATGCAAAATTTGATCAAATATAATAAATGTATTTCATTATAATTTTTAGAGTAGCTCGGTGGCGTAGTGGGTAAGCGCCGCGGCCCGCGATCGTTGTCGTTAAGCAACTTTCGCAAGGGTCGGTCACGGGATGGGCGACCAAAAAATTATTATCTCGAGCTACTCCGTGCTTCGGAAGGCACGTTAAGCCGTTGGTGCCAGCTGCATTTGCAGTCGTCAATACCCTCCAATCCACATTGGGCCAGCGTGGTGGGTCATGGCCCATACTCCTTAGCCATCCATAAGGAAGGCCTGAGCCCCTGCAGTGGGGACGTAAAAGGGCTGATGATGATGATGATGATTATAATTTTTAAGTCGTCGCAGTGCAAACACGAAGCTAATGACAACGAGACCTGAAAATTTTGAAAATATCTTGTCCAAAAAATTGTTCTTCGCTCATGAATTACCTACATAAAATGTTTATATATTATAGCGTGCCGTCTGAGCACGTTAGTCCCGACTCACACTTGGTTTTATATTGGGAAACGCGATTTCTCGTGACTGCCTCTTTAATATACAGTATTATTATACTATAGACATATTGAATAATGAGTTATATGATTTACAAAACTGAAGGTTTAAGAAATACTCGTAAAAATATTTTGAAATACAGCTATCTAGTATTTAGTAGATAGTTATAATATTTTATAGAAAAAATCTGTCATCCTTTAGTGGTTTCAAAGTAATAGTAATTGTTGGAACCTATAGATGTCTTTTTTTGATCACTCTTTGGTAAACTCCTATGGCGCGAAATCTTTAGAATTTCTCTCTAATTTCATTTGATTGAATTGGTAAACTACCTCTTAATAATGGGTCATTATAGCCCCTTTTATAATAATCTACTATTCAATCGATAACATTTCTAAAATATTAATTATATATATGAATGTAAGTCAATGGATCTATGGACCAAAGTGTTATGAATACAATCCAAACGTATCCTAGGCGTATTTTAGCAATGAAGCTTTCAAAACATGTAGACGTCCGCTTTTACTTACTACCTATTACATCTGTGTATACTCAATGATGAATCAGTGTTTAATGTTCAAATTTTTTACATAGTAATATTCTTTTGTTCCAGATGAAATGGCAAGTGGCCGGCGGCGTGGGCATGCCACTTGCTGCGACTGTATTCTGCATGCTACCTCTCTTCACATCATCTACAGGAGATATTCGTAAGTAACTAAGCCGTTGGATTGTACAATCAATAGCACGTTAGTCTATATAAAGTGTCAATTTATCCCACCTAATTTTTAATCTGTTAAGGATATTTGACATAATTTTAGTAGGCTAACATCCAGCCGTGTGTACGGAATGAGACATTGACGAAAGAAGGCAGGAACTTTCTATCAAAAAACAAATTTCGTAAATAACAGTTTTTTTTCTATTTTATACCTCACAAACTTTTTTAATATTAGGATAATGCACCCAGTGGCGGATAATAATTAAACGAACTATATGTATAATCTATACATATTGCTTTATATGACTCAAAAGTCATAGACCGAAAAATGCAGTGGTCTTGATCTACATACAATAATAATGCTTCTATAATACAATATAAAATACATATTCCCGCACGCCGTATGCAGGCTATATTGACTAGTAAATAAGAATGCCTCCCGAACGCCACGTGAGGCACAAATTAACATGCGATCCGTATTAACGAATGAGAAGTCTCTTGGCCTACGAAAATATGAAAGTTTCATAATTATTGATATCAAGGGAGCAGCCTTAATTAAAGCAAAATTTATTCTACCTCTTTGAAATTACTGTTCGACAACTTATCATAAATATTTTAATAATATTCCGTTCAGAACACAAGTTGGTTTATAGGGCTAAACACAATTCACTCGCAAGAACTTTTGGGTCACGTAAAACAGTATTTTCAATGTAAATAATTCTCTTTCGAGAAATAGAGAGGTTGTAGTAGATACTTTATACATATATGATATTTATTTTACACTTATTTCTCGTATATTTACCCTATGATCCTTAAGAAAAATGTGAGTTGCCAGTTCTTACATCTTTCTTTACCGTTTATATTAGCTAATAAATTATACGACATATTATTATACCTACGCGTTGAATAAATAAAAGTCTTTCACATACGATATTTTCGTCAATTAGAATCGTACATTTTGTTTAGCAAGCGTTTGCACAGCAAGTAAATCGTTTAGGTCAATAAATTATTTAATTATTAATATGATCACATGCGAGTTATATTGGAATCGAACAGTGTGCACACATTTACAGCAAGTTTTATAATAAATATTTTATCAAGTTTCTCGAGCATTTTTCCCGTCTTTAATATCAAGAAAACAAGGGCTCGTACAATATCTATATACATATTTATATATATGTAACATAACATATATAACATAGGTAACATATAGATGTTACCGTGAAATTTTAATAGATTATATATAATTATACAAGACGATTTAACTTTGATAGATAATTCATAATTTATCAAATAAATGCCTCAAATTGTTAACAGTTTACAATTTTGCAAAATATTAGATATTATCATAAAATTAAACCGACTTCAAAAACAATTGTAATAAAGAGAAAAGGCTGACAAGAGAGAAGTACTACATTTTTATCGAAACACAGAAAAGTGCATACACCAACATTTTTTGAGCTCTTAAAAAGAACTTTATTGCTTCAATTTAAAATTTTGTCGTTATATACCAGAACACAAACAACGTCAAACGAAAAGAGGTCATATACTTTTTTACCCGAAAGGAGGGTAATGAGTTTATGAATCTATGTATGTTTGTTCCTATATGGCATTGTAGAGACCAAACGGCATAGCCAATTTTGATGGTTTATACGTCAATCAATTTGTCTTTACCTTGCGAGTGTCACTAAGCACATAACAGTAATCAAAATTGTTCTTTGAGGGTACCTCACCTACATGTAACATGGGGATATTTTTTTTATTTTATTTCCCTATAGTGTGGGATATTGTTGGATAGGTCTTTCTTTATGATTAGATGTAGTGAGCTGTTCGAAAATTATTAAGCTTTTAAGTGCCAAGAACTACTTTGAGCCGAATGAGGTCTCTATAGAGACTAATAATAATCAGTAGTTTAGACCACCGTAAGTTGCTTAATAATCCTTACGATATAAACTCCCTCAATGAAATGACAAGATTGCAAAATTTAACGTCTTATAGTTCTAATAACAAAGTCAATGTGAACTAACTAAAAAAAAAATAAAAACAAACATTCAAATTATAAGTGATAATTAATGGGTCCCGACAGCTGATCCATCTATTCTGCTTTTGAATTTATGATATGTTTTATCTGTGTATAAATTTTAAAACTATTTCGATGAAGCAGTTATTCAGTATTACTTAATGATATTCCAAACTAATGGGCTTGTTTTTTCTTTTTAGTTTTTCATGAAAGAAATTTATATTTTTTTTTTCACCCTCCTTTTTTTATTTCCAAGCAGACGCGTATTTGTTTTTTATAAAAAAAAAATATATAAAATACCTTGATTGTTTAGATTGATTACCTTACACCGAAATTGCAAAATTCGCACTTTCATTATAATACTGATAGGATTAATCTATTAGTATTCATCAAGGTGTAATCAAAACTTTTCCATTACTCTAACTCGGTGATAAGTCTAGCGGATTTCACCTAGATCATACGAAACTTTTCCTAACTTCATCGCGGTATCAAATTAAAACCTTTCATTATAAGTTTTTTTTTTTTTTGTTTTACTTCATAATTTAGAAGCCTTCCTCTCTACTGACGACATATTTCATAAAGTCTTAATGGGATATTTTATTGACAATATATAGACACTATCAATTAATATAAAATCAAATCCAATAAAACTTATATTATACAATATACGAACAATAGCGAATCCGACCAATCCTTAATAAATCTGTCTATTTCGTTATCTATTTTTGCGATAAGTAAACAAATTGTCAATAGGAATCATTAGGTAGGTTATATTCAATATAGGAATGACAGTTACTACCAACAAATATTAGTGGCAAATAATAATCAGACTACTCATCATTATATTATAAACTCCAGGCTTGAATCTCAAGTATATTGGATGTTTACGCTTTTTGAATATAATGTTGTGTACACACGCTTTTGGGGTGCAGTCTCGCTCCTATCTTTATACATGCTTTTTATATACTTTATTTGATTGTAACCTGTTGTGTGAACCTTTAATAAATAAATTATAGATTTATAAATAGTGACAAATTTTGAGCCTTCCATCGAATAGATAAAAATCTATCTAGATTCTTTAGAAGAAAAACCAGCAATAGACTGCAGATGTAATTTGATGATGTTCATTTTATCATAATTCAGAATAGCAAGTTATTATATTTAAAAAAACAATTAGCTTTCTACACTTCTTCACCGTATAAACTTTAACTTTACTAGATTTCTAACTCCCGCGTCTTCGCAATTTTTATTAAAAGGTCCCAATGTTTTTGATCCATGTATAAATAGATATTAATTCCCATTTACGTACCAATAGGTCACCACGGTACGTCTCGAGCGAGAGGTTGGCGAGGAGGTGTGCAGGCCAGCGCTGACGTCACCGCCAACAACTCCATCAGCAACGTCACAGCCCAGCTAGGGGGCACAGCATATCTACACTGCCTTGTGGGACACTTGAGCGAGAGAGGCGTGAGTCTTCATATAATTAAATAAATATTTTAGAAAACATCGCATACATTGCTCAGATAACAAAATAAGTAGCTAAATTCAAATTATGCAATAAAATCGATACTAGTGCATGTGTCTTCGTAAAAAACACTTGCTTTAATATAGCGTATACTAGTACTAACGCATATTCCTGTTATGCGCTTGACGGTGTCGGATCTTCCATCAAATTTGCACCGAGCGTTAATTATAAATAGTGTTTTGATATAACTTTACGTAGTGTATTTAGTAAGTGAGTTAACATGTAGAGACTCACAGTCGATAAAGCCTATTTTTCTAAAGAGAGAAATATCTCATTGTGCTTTTTAACCAACTCAGTGTTTGACGAGAGCTTGCAGCTATAGGTAAACCACGGTATAGTATGTGTCACTCAAATAAGTCTAAACGTAACTCAAATAGTCATACGCCTGAGAGACGTATGTTTAACCGTTAATATAAATTGTCAATTTTGGTTTTAATTGATGATAAGTCATAAAAAACCAATTACTTAAAAATATTATTTTAAATCACAATTTAAAAATTGAATGAATAAGTTTGTAAGAAATAAGTACAAAATATTATAATTTTCCTGAAAAGGTTGTTTTTAAATTTGAAAATAGTTGTACGTGTTACTTTACTGTAATATTCAGTTGCTATTTCATTTGATAAAACTGTGTTTTACTAAAAATAAAAAATAACACTTAACATAACAAAAAGAAATAAGTAGTGTATAATTTTGCCTACAGGTTGTAATTTAATATGTACAGCTTTGAAACGTATTATGAGTCTTTCGGTAACTCTCAGATAGCATTAGGCTTCTAGGGTTAATGTTGCTACAAGTTATAAACATGTTATAAAACATCCTTTAGATCCACAATTTTTAGTATTAGTAAAAACTACACCTCCCAGGAAAACTCTTTCAGTGACATTAAGACACACCCATTTTCACTAACCAAGGCATAGCTTAACTAGAAAACGCCTAATATTACGAATCGCCTACGCAGATTAGTTTAATTCCAAATAAATATTTTTGCTTTTATGCATTGATATACTTTGAGCTGTCATATACGCAAATGCCTAATACAAGGCGCCGCATAACGAATATCATAACTTAAGACATTGCTTAGTTTCGTAAGATAATTTTACCTTAGGCGATTCCTAAATATTTGGGCGACAGCTTTGGGTGACTCCTAAGTTTAATGTAAACGGACATTAGTCATGATCAATGTACTATAGTGAAGAACTAAATTAATTTACATATTTGGCTTATTTTATATACATTTTTTGTTTGTTTTTCAGCAAGTATCTTGGATTAGGAAAAGGGATTGGCACATACTAAGTTCTGGAAAGTTCACGTACACAAACGACGAGAGATTTCAGGTGAGTTAGCTAATTTCTAACAAATAAATAACTAATAAATAATAAAACTAGGTCCTAAAAGAATAGAAATGTGTTATAGAATAGATTTATGACTATAACTGAACAATATTCTTGCCATTTTTGTATTATTTTTTAACAAATAGTTGATTTTGCATTCTGTGGCCATAATTTTTTAGTTCACATATTTCTTAAAAAATAATGTTATATGGACTACTTGGTGAATACTGAATCTCACTGAATGTAACACCTCATATAATTATGGTCAAAAATCATAGGTAAGTTCGTTGAACCATTAACTATTTTTGAATGTCTATCGACTATTACTTTAATCTTATTTTGACAACTGTCTTCTGCTTTTCTTTTTATAAGTGCGGCATCTAGCTACAAGTGGAACTTTGTAATTGACCTTCTTCTTAATTTGATTGTTCATACATAATATTATAGCAGTTTTCATAAGTGAACTACAGTAATATAAACCAATCTACATTAAAATGATAATTGACGACAAAAAATGACTCTAACACCCAAACACCCAAATATACCCGGATCGGACATCCGGGTATATTTGAAACATTCTGTAACTTACCTATATTTTCCTGATATTCTCCAAGACCTTCCGGACATTTACCCAAATTTTCCCGCACTTATTTGCAAATTATACGGAACATTTCCTAATCTTATCCGGAACTGAAAATATTAAACTGAGCTCTTGAATACTCAGTATTTAGTAATCATATCATAATATTAGTTCATGATAATAGAAAAGTAACCGTTTACCTGTCACAAAGAACGCCAACAAATACGCCTCATTCCTTTGAATAATAATTATGAAAATAATAATCTTTAACCTCGACTTTTAATGCAGAAAATACTCATTCAAATTTCTCCCTTCCTAAAGCCCAAGAGGCAAATAGTGTATAAGAATTTGCGTTTGAAAGCAGTCAGCTTTTCCATTGCACGCCAATTAGCGATGGCTGACATTCATGGTTTTAACGTCGGAATAAAAAAGGAAACCAACCTCATCGGTTCTCACAAATGAGTCACAATTACACCAGGGGACGGGTAAAGTAACAAAAAGAACTGAAATTGTGCTTCACAAAAATAAGATGATTTTCTTATGAATTGTTAACTGTTAGCATTTTATTTTGTATTTGGATTAAGGTCGAAAGTCAAGGATATCTTTTTTTTGAGATATCACAAAGGGTGATGGTTCTCAATTCAATTGCATGTGTTTTTTGTATTATTGTTATTTAACCGTATTGCAGTAAATTACATAGGCGAATACACATAATTCTTATGAGTTCACATTCAGTTTTCTGAGCCAATTAGTAGGGTCTTGAGTAAGGTTATAGATGTCTTCTGTTGGTCCTGGGTATGAATGGACTATAATTTGAGACTCTTCGTCGCAATTACACAAATCAGAATCTCACCAACCCCACTTATGCCGAAATAAGTTACATCGACCATGACCGGATCTAAGCCTGTTCAACTGACACCAAAGCTTACGAAGTAGATTGAAACTCTTAGGAAGGCCGCTGGGTCTGCGAGTTGGTATAGATATTCCGAATATTCCGTCAAATATTCCGTCCGCTACCGTGCTTCACTTACACTTCCAGCCAAATCGAGAGAGACTCCAGATACCAAATCGAGAGAGACTCCAGGCTGAGATGCAAATCGAGTGACGGGACTTGAGCCTGACCGTCAAATGGACCCTTCCGGTAGACCATTGTCCAATTTCTTGTCTGACTTAGCATGCTAGAGATCAGGTCCGCTACATTTTTACAAGGCACTACTGACGTAAATTTATACATAAGACCCTTTTTCCAAACAGTATCGTAAGCAGCGGTGAGGTCAATAAAAACTGCCATAGACTTTATTCGGTCCTGGAAACCAACTTCGATAGGGTTTGTCAGTGGAGTGCCAGCTTGTTCAAGTGGTGTAATTGCGTCCAGGTAAGGTTCAAGTCTGGTTAGTATCACACATTCCAATATTTTTATACACAGAACTTCAAAGAAAAATAGGTCTGTAACTCTCCGGTAGATGATTTCGTTTTCCTGTATTCAAAACAGGCATTATTTTTACCAGTTTAAACTCTTCGGCCGGTTATTTTTTTATAGGATAATTGTGAAAAGTGCCGTTAGCCACTTAATTATAGTCTCGGTCTCATGTGGCGTTTCGTTGTACATTTTATCCGGGCCCAAGGCTTTATTGTTTTTTAGCAATTTGATGGCTTTAGCAGTTCTACAATTTCTAACAGTCTGGACAATTTAGGATACTAGGATATATCTTGTTTAGGGATTTAAGGTCTTGTTTTACTTTTTTGTGAAACTTTATCCCGTTTAGCCTGAGTAAGATCAAACATAAGGTTGACAATCGTATCCGGACTTACATTAGTATAGCCTTTCGAATGATTGTGCTTAACTGTAAATCTGTTCAGGGGCTTCCAAGCCTTTCTACTTAAATGTTTAAAGTCCATACCAAATGTTAAATTCCCAATTAGATTGCCTGCTTTCATAAAGAGACTTCAAGAGTGTAGCGCCAGTTTCTTGTTTTCCCATGTTCTGTTTGCATTCCACCCTAGGACGTACTTTTTGCAATAACTTCTAGATATGGCCAGTTTAGCAATTTTAATGACTAGGCCTACAAAACTGCTGTAGTTTTCTGCTTTTGGTTCCAACCTGATTGTATCCAAATCAGAGTTTAATTTAGTTTTGTATTTATCCCAGTCGGCACGATCAAAGTACCAGCGCGATATTGGAATTGAATTTATGAGGGAGCAAGAATCTGGATGTTTGTGGGCAAAACTTGATTAAATAGGTCCCTAGAGACAAATTTTAGGTCAAGGTTGTTATATTTATCCCATCTGGCTGAATGGGAAATGCCCTAATCCTTAGCATCAAAAAATAGATGTTAGTTAGTCAGTTATAGGTGTAATTGGTCAAATGACATCTTCTTCTTGAAAGAAGATGTTTTGGACCTTGGTCCTAATCATCTTTTGTGTTAGTTTCCTGAATGTGAACTACGCCAATTTTTTCTATATTCAAAAGTTAATAAAGATAATCTAACTTGGCTTTACTAATGCATACGGACTAAAGGTCCAACATTTCTGAAGGTCTTTTAGCCCTGAAAAGTGCCGTATTTATGATGCTTCGTATTCAAATCCATATATATATTCTTAACGCCTATTTTCGCCGGATAGTTTTGTCGCTCATTTAGCACCACACAAGGGACACGTGCAGGGTTTTGGTAGGTAACTCCTGCGGATGCGAGCAACAGGTTGCCCTCCAAATTTGTATTTGTATTGTGCTTAATAATAACTTCGTAAAATTTTGATAAATGGGGTGATTAATTAAATTAAAAATTCATTAGAATAAGAAAGGTAGATTTTTTAATAAAAAAAAAAATCACCATTTTTTTGAATAATATAAGAATAATTTAACTACCTACAAAAATCGTTAGCAAAAACAAGCTTCATTTGAAGTCGAGATTAACAAAGCGGCATGACCGTGCGATTAATTATAAAGTCACTGAGGTATCATAATAAAGCCCGAGCCATACACGTACACAGATAAGTGAACACTTCTTTGTACGAACTAAATATAAACGCACAAATGTATGTGACAAAGCATCAAATACCAGAGCTACAAAACTTAAACACTTTTGCAATCAAATGAACACCTTAGCTAAATTGAGGCCCAGATCATTTCTATGTATTGCTGTTATAGAATCCATAATTAAAGTGTACTTTATATAACAGTGACATTATATCAAGCACCTATCACTCCCAGTCAGTATCCGAAAGACCTTCTTTGCATCGCCCGCACACAAATTCACATATTATAACAGACCTCCACGGAGCATCCTCAGGAGTTGTTAGACATAACAGGTGCTAATAATTGGGGATTGTACGTGTGCCAATCACTGGGGGTTGTACGTGTGAATTTGTGTACGGGCGCTCCACAGCAGGCGTTGCCGATACTGGCTGGACGTGGAAGTCATTAGATACCAAAGTCTCACGGTTATAGCAATGGATTTCCTTTCGGAAGAATAACACCTGATTTAATTAAAAGCTGTGCTTTAGTTGAATGGTAATTAAACTGTTTTTTTAATGGATTACTTCCACAGGTCTTACATGGCGAAGGCTCGGAAGACTGGACGCTGCAAATTAAGTTCGTGCAGAAACGAGACAACGGCACTTACGAATGTCAGGTCAGTAAATAAATTCGTAACTGCTCTTCATTGTGTAGTAATTACGAGAGCCAATCTTGGGATAAGTGGCTGACTATTTTTATCTAATTCTCTGTATTGGTTTTGCTGCAATTTAAGATCATTAACACCCACCAACCCACACTGAGTCCGCATGATAGCCAGTGTAGTTATGAATACGAAAAACCTGTCTTAATAATAAAGACATTTATGGCCTGAACATTTTTTATAACATTTCATTATACTAAAATTAATAAATAGTATGCAAAATATCAGCATACTTTACATAAATCTTGTCTTTCATCTACGCGAAGCTACATCACAGGAGAGTGGCATAGACTATGATTTATGTGAAATCATGGAAGAACAGCATGTATCAAATAAAACAGTAACACATAAAGCCACTGCCAGTAATTATATACGCACAGACTAAACTGTTTGTATTAGTGCCTAGAGAATTTAATCCAGATCGAGCCAATGTCGCAAATCGAGTATTATTCGCCATATTTCGTGCTCCTTTGAAACGAGGTTCCATAGGCATGTGCCTAGATTACCTATAGGATTATTTGTCACTGCGTATAAAAACTAAAACATTAGGCAAGTGTCCTCATTAAATATTAAAAGTTTTTTTTGTAAGCAATAGTTTAATTAAACTGGCACACATTTTAAAGCGACATTACTGATACAAAATTGACATTAATTAGAGCTAAAAAGCCTCATTAACTCTTAATGGATGTTAGTGCACTGACCATCATTGTTGTAAATTAACTATAATGGCTGCTTAGGAAAACCCTAAATACGATGCAAATAAAGACAATTTTTGAGCAAATGAAAATTTAATCGGCATTAAATATTAATTTACATCTATAAGCTTTTGTGAAAGGATATTTTAGTAATATTACCAATAAGTATTATTCGATGTGTATTTTGATTCTGTATCAATTCTAAAAGTTTTATTTTAGCTTGAACAAGCCAGATTTATTTATATACTGACGACTTCTCTCAGACACTCGCTTCTGTACCTATCTTTATGCAATAGGGTTGATGCAAGCTTTATTTTTATTTCTGTTTTTTTTTAAATTTATTTTACGTTATAATTATACCCTTGTTAATTTCTAATAGAATAGAACCTTAGAACACAATTTAACTCACTGCAGGTGCCGAATGGTGTGTGTTTTACTGCATGTTGAATTAAGAGAAACGGCTTCCTTTCGAATTACACAGAAAGTTAAGATAATAAAGTTAAGCCCCCCTCCAATTTCAGGGATTTGGAAAAGTTCCTTAAACACCGTAATATTTGAGTACGCTATCGAGTGCTACTTCTCACCTATTTTATACAGTTATTCATATAATATTTGAAATTACACTTGTTATTTCCCTTGACTGCTTTCGCGTAAAATCTCGTTTCGTCATTCAAATTATATCTTTGATATTCCGCCGCCATGGAATTCCTTCATGGCGAATTCAAAATTCGAGGGATTCATTTTTTCCGATAATTATTTATGTTACATTATTTAATACAAGTAAAGTATATTTATAAAGTTAAGTAATTAATATTAATACTCTATACCAATATTATAAAGACGAAATATTTGATTGTTTTTTGTTTGATTACTCCGAAACTATTAAATCGATGACTATGACTACTTTCTCCTAGGGAAACCTTCATAGTGGGTGACATAGGCTATTTATTAGGATACCAAAGTAACCAGTTGTTTAAAAGCTGCAATAATATCCTAACACTGAATTAAGTCGAATTCGGGCTCATATAATTCTTAGTGCTTGATAAATTCTGTATTTATGTTCTCCATTTTTTGTGCTTATTAACCGTCATAATAAAAATATTATACACCATTTATTAGGCATAACGTATTCAAAGTGGTTTAAAGCTGAAAAATAGCTCCTTCGACTACGTTTATCTGAATAAATATGACATTTTTTGCTATTATTAAGACATTACAACTTTTGTGGACTTGTATATTTTTTCGAACTTGCATTCTTTAATCGCTGCAATTTTTTTTTGCTTACGTCCTGTCTGTTAGAGTGGTAGAGAATGCCCTTGGCATTAAGTCCGCCTTTTGCTGTTCTAGCAATAAAAAATTGACCGCTATTAAAAACTTACAAGAACTTTTGGACTGGTCACAACGTTTAATAAACTTAATTCCTAGACGCACCCCGCCTGACTCATATGAGCAGTTTGTATCGGAAAATTTCACAATATTTACCTTTAAAACTCCTTATTCAAATATTTCAAAACCAAAAGCATATAAGCAAATATTGAGATAGTGAATAGAAATTTTGTAAAAATGGAGTAGACGGTGGCGTAGTGGTTAAGCGCTGTAGCCCGCGATCGTTGTTGCTAAGCAACTTTCGGTTACGGGGTGGGTGACCAAAATTTTATTATCTTAAGCTACTCCGTACTTCCGAAGGCAAGTTAAGCCAAAAGTAAAACAAGAAACCTGACCTAAAGAATTCTGGTCACAACCAGCAATGTGAAAACTACAACAGGACATTATTGCGTTCCGGAGCCATGTTAGTAATGACTCCTTAACTAGCCATAAGGAGGATCTGAGCCTCTATAGTGGGGACGCCATTTACGTTTATGATGAATGTAAATTTAGCTAACAATGATAATATCGAGTTTACATAGAAACATGAACGAAATCTTTATAAAGGATGTAGAATTATATTGCTTTTCCACGATCTCAACAACCCTACGCGGAAAACATCAAAGTAAAAATCCTTTCCACTTCACAACATACGCTGTTTAAGTATATACAGTTTTACTATTCGGATTTAGGTCACGGTTTGAGTAACATAATACCTTGAGAATCAAAGTACAGTGACTTACGAGTAACAGTCGAACCACGAGGGGCTTGCATGCGAAATAATACGCCTTGACATGAATATTTTAATTCTAGAGATCTGGGGACCTTACCCTGAACTCTTATATAGGATCCAATAGCAAATGTCTATAGACTGCCACATTATTGGAAAAGTTTTAATATCTGAGAAAGTTTTCGCTAAAAAAATTCGTCTGTCCCGTTAGGTCTTGGGTTAGAGCGGTTGCCCTGATAGCTAACGGTCGTGATTTCAAGTCCCATCTTAGGTACTAGGGATAAAGTAGATTTTATCTAAGCATTCATTAAGATTTTTTTCCAGTATAATAATTAGAACAAATTTTCATCTTTATAAAAGTTTGAAATATTTCATTCGGCTGTATGGGTGAATTGCCTGAATATTAATGAAAGTACGCTCTGTAGTAGTGAAAAAGTAACAAGTGCTCGAAAATTCGTGAAAATTCTTCAGTCTTGTTAGGTCCTGGGTAGCTCAGTTGTTAGAGAAGTCGCCCGGATTGCGAAGGTTCGAGACCTTTTTCTTTTAGAAAGAAATTTAAAGACGGAAGTAGGATCTGAAAGGGTTTACTTTTTTGGTCTGAAAAATATTGTGTCTACGATTATTATATTAGAAAGAAATTTAAGACTAAGAACGTCTGATTGATTTTTTTTTTTTTTGAATGGAGTGAAAATAGTAAGCATTTTAAAGCCTGCCCTCCTTACTACACTACTTTATTGTTTTTAATTTAACCTAAAACAATATTTCATTATCTTTGTATTTATGATTATAGTTAACTATTTCAATTCAAATACCTTACTTTATATTTCAGTACAAGCTGTATTTTCTATGTATGTGTCACTTCTTACTACAAAATAAGAAGTTTATTCAATCAATTTTAAGTATAAAACAGTTTTCAATAAAATATAAAGTTAATTGCAGTTTGGCTTTGTATTAAACTGACGTACTGCTATGTGTAACAACAAAATAAATTGCTTTGAAAATAATCTTTCCTTGAATCTGTAATACGTGCTACAGGATAATACCATCTTAATGCCCTTTCATAAAAGCGAATTTACTGTAACAATGCACGAGGAAAATGTGTGAAAACAATTGTCGCATACCTGTGACGTTGATATTATATATGACGTCATCGTTTATATTATCATAGGCGTCACAAAAACAATAAAGCGACGCTACGGAACAGTCTCAGATTTTGGTTGATCCGCCTGTGCTGACACATGTGAGATAAAAAAAATCTTTCCCTCTTTCCTTGAATACGTAACATAATTTTGACGTATCATTACTGGCAAGATTAGGGCTGGCATAAGGCGGTGGGTGCCTCGATTTCTTCTTGCTTTTTTGTCATAGGGCATACCCCACTCCCTGTTGCTTGACTCGACACTCCCGAAGACTAGTCAACTCATGAAGGATATACCCACTAAACCCTCTTTTTTGGGCGAACTTTAGGATCCAGAAGAAACGGCCCACATTCAAGCCAAATGCAACCATCACAACAAGAGCGTGTGCCGTAATCGCCGATGACCAGAGTTGCCAGCTTAGAACTTTCGGTGCTAGATCTGGCACTATTTTCAAAATCTAACTTTTAGCACTAAGCACCAAATCAAGCACTATTCAGTATTTTTCATTTATTTTCTGCTCACAGTTAGATTATGGGCAAGGTCAAATAAAATGAGAGATCTAAAAATGGTTAGAAAGACGAACGACGTCTCTACGTTAAAAAATAAATCAGAAAACTGGGTATTTCAATCTTTCATTGTCCCACGCACGATCCTTCATGAAAAAAATCCGTTCCAAACGACTTTGACGGTAAAGAAAAAATAAAATGGCTTTAGTTGTGTTATATTTTTATAATAAAAAAAATAGAAACGTAAGCTGTGTTTTTTCCTTATTTTTTATGTTCTATTTTTGAATGTCCCTAATAATCTACTACTTTTTGAGATGTCATCTAGCACTTACGTATCTAGTTGGCATCTCTGCCGATGACAAAAGTCAGCAAAAAGGTAACACCACCTTAATCGCTCACGCCCGATTTCTCCTAGTCTTTTTTCAGGTTTATCCTATATTTTTTGATTTGTCCTAGTTTGTTCACTTTTAGCCTATTTTTTGTGATTTGTCCCAGAACTATCCGAGTTATATCTTTACTTGGTAATGTCATACAATTATCAACGATAATTCAGCGGTCGATAAATTAATATATCCGAGATTATCCAGGACAAAGTCCTTGTCTAAATTTAGATCTTTTCTAGACAAAATGTACGTATATCGTGGAATAAGTTAAAAAAGCAATTTTATCCAATATCATAAGGAAGTTTTTAGGAGACGTTTAACCTCTTTTTGTCTATTTTTCAACTTCCATTGAAGAGAACGTCTAAAGTAACATAAAATCAAAAATTAATTTCAATTGCATTTGTTTTATTCGCAATCAGTATTATGTTCGAGATTTGCTTTACTCGCTCCTTACGTAAGCCACTCAGTAATTTAGTGGGAACTACGATCGATTCACGAAAGCATAGCTCAGTTGATCGGAGCATTAGTTTCGATGAAATAAGCACTCCGTATTGGACTGCTTCTTTAATAAATAATTAGATTAGTTTTCTAACGTAGACTATTACATTCTTCCAGTAAACCTTATGGTGAATCATGAACCTCTTTGCGTAAACCAGAACTACAAAATCCAACAATGATGTATGATAAAATTTTA